TTCATTAAATTGGCTTGACGTTTGATCTTTGCCGCACGCTCAGACCAGTAATGGCCACTGTTTCGAATGCAGTTCAACGGTACTCCTAAATACTGAGGAGCTACACAGCTCCACGAAATACCAGCATACTTCGAAGGTGTTGTGGCCCACTGGCCGCACCAGAAGCCAACGCATTTTGAGTTATTTACCAACGCTCCCGAAGCTTCACAAAATGTCTGGGTTAAGGTAAAGACATTATCGACACTTTTCTTATCAGCGCAGAAAAACGCTATATCGTCAGCATAGGCTAACACTTTTACTTCCGCGGAATAAAAATGATAACCGTCCACTGTAGGGTTGGAAAGTACGCTCAAACAAAGAGGTTCCAAGTAAAGAGCAAACAAAAGAGGGGATAAGGGACACCCTTGTTTAACAGACGATTCTAAATTTATAGGAGTCGAGAGTGAACCATTAACAATGAGACGGGTAGCACAGCTTCGGTAGCATAGTTCGATTCCTTTCAGCAACGTTGGTCCTGGGTTTATGTGTCTAAGAATGGCGAAAAGGAAGTTATGAGATACGCGGTCAAAGGCTTTCGCCAAGTCTACTTGGACTATGGCGACCTGGTTGTTATGCCGAGTACAGCTCTCTATGACCGAACGTGCGACGTGTATATTGGTCTGTATGCTTCGCCCCCTAATTCCACATGTCTGATGGTCGCCAACAACACTAGAAGCGACGAACTGAAGCCGTTTTGTCAGAATCTTAGCGAATATCTTATAGTCCACATTGCAGAGAGTAATAGGGCGATATCCTTCTACGTGTATAAGTTTATCTGCATCCTTACTTTTGGGGATTAATACTGTATGGCTGCTATAAAAAGATGGTGGTAAGCGTTCACTATCGTAAGCTTCAAGAAATACTTTGTGTAAGAAAGGGCACAGTAGTTCCTTATGCTCCTTGTAAAACTCAGCTGGGAGTCCATCCGGTCCTGGCGTTTTAGAGTTAGGCAACTCATCTATCGCACTCTGAATGTCCTCCAGCGTTACTGGTCCACTGAGTAGTTCGCGTTGAATCTCACTTACTTTAGGCAACATGGAAACTAAAGTGTCTGTCATTTGACTGTTGGAAGATGGCGTTTTCTGGAATAGGTTTTTGTAGTGGGATTCGAATGTGCGCATTATATCAACATCGTTGGTTGAGAGGGTTCCGTTGCAGTCCAAAAGTTTGATTTTTTTGGAAAGCCCATGGCGTCTTTCATCATCAATGGCACGCCGCGAGGGTGTCTCAGATGACAAGAAACGCTTACACCTAGAACGTACCAGTGCACCATTATAGCGATTTTGCTCATAGCGCTGCAGCTGACTTTTGATAAGAATGATTTCTTCCTGAAACTCACCAGATTTTTCACATTCCAATTCGTGAAGGCTATTTAGGTTTCGCAAAAGGGCAGTTTCGTCTTTCTTTGCGTGAAAAGACGCAATACAAGCAAATTCAATCGCTTCATTTTTGACCTCTTGTTTAAATGAGTCCCATTGGGCGAAAATGCCGAATTTTTCATTCGTTGACATATTGTTAAAACATTCACGAACACGTTTTTGAAAATTATCAGTGCCAAACAGCCTTGTGTTCAATTTCCATAATTCCCATTTTGGACGTGACTTATGACGTACGTCTGCCCCAATACGAACCTTTACAAGGCAATGATCAGAAAAGGACATGGGTTTTACTTCATAAGTAGCCACATGCGAAAAAAGTTGGCTTGAAACGTAAACTCGGTCAAGCCTCGCGTTACATGAAGCATCAATGTGTGTGAATCGACTAGCAGTAACCTGAGAAGCACCGACATCAAATAGGTGGAAGTCGTATGTGAGGTTGTTTAGTATGTCAGCACTGCTGTCAGGTCTTGTAGGAGGCACTGATCTATCACTGATATTACAGACACAATTGAAATCACCAAACAGAACAACTTGCCTGTCGGTGTCAAGAAAAGGGGCGAGATTTTCAAAAAACAAACGTCTTTGTCGAACATCATTGTAGGCATAAATGCAAATTAAACGCCAGGAGATACCATTTAAGAAAAAATCACAGCATATAAACCTGCCCTTATCATCCACAGCATGTGAAAATGACGAGTATTCTAGTCTCTTCTTTAAGAATAAAAGGCACCCTCCCGACAAGCCATCCGCGTGGCTCACACATACCTCATAACTTGAGAGGAAAGGGTCCAATGCACGAGCTGTGTCCTCGTCGGACGATATCTTTGTCTCCTGGACGGCAACAAAGTCAATCTGTTCCTTTGAGAGGACCCTATACAGTTGGGACTGACGTGCACGCGAACACAGTCCTCTGACGTTGATGGTTGCGAAGCTCAGGGGAGGAAATGCCAGGGAGGTGTTAGCTAAGGGGGTAGTTCATCACCGTCCTTCACTACGTCAGCAGGCCGTGTGGCCTTACTGTAATGGTGCTCACACACCTCAGCTGGCCTGCGTTTGGCGTCGCCTCTCTCGTCGCTGTTGTGGCCGATCGCGACATCCGTGGTAGACGACTGAGACGATTTTTCCGATGTTGGGGCGGGTCGTTTGACAGATGTTCCACTGGACGTGGTCGAGCGCTCTCGTCGATGTAATGAAAACTGTGAAGCATCCGTTGACGTCGTACTTAAAGGAGGGAATTCGCTGTCTTGCAAAAGCGATTCAGGCTTTTCAGATTCAGTGGTGATCGTCGCCGACTCAGGGTTGACGTCAGGTGGTGGGTGCAGTGGGGCCGTCAGCTGTACCCCTGAAGTGGTGCTGGAAGGGGTGACTTCTCCTGTTGCATCGACCACTTCGCTTATGTCCATTAGGTGTTCTAAAACGACATCTTCAGCTGGGCTTCTTGCTTGTCGGAGCTTGTCCGCATAGGTGGTGACGCACTCACTTGTTGCATGACCATAACGTCGGCATTCACCGCATCTTGGGGTCCTACACTCGCGACGAATGTGACCGATTCGGTAGCATCGTAGACACAGTGGAGGGCGGCCAGGCACGAGCACCAAGCTTCGACAGCCGAACACTGTGAGCTGGTGCGGTATCTGGCTCGCGTTCATTCCCTCGTGAAGGGTCAACGTCACTTCTTTGTTTAGCGTCTCCATCTGCTCCATTCCGGCGCAGCGCCAGTTTTCTCTAACAATCGAACGGACCGTGCCAAAAGGCGCCAGTGCTTCTTCGATACGCTGGTTGTCCATGTGAACTGGTATCCAAAGAAGTTTCAGTTTGACGTCTCTGGTGTCCGGGTCGATGATTAGGCATCGGCGCCCCTTTACGCGGAGCTCTGCTTTGGTCACAAGTTTGGCCTTGGCCAAAGCGCTTGCACAGGTCACCATCCAGACGTGACTCATCTGGAATTGGCCGATTCCGATGATATCCTGGCTGTCAACCACGTCCCGCAAAGCGTCTCGAAAGTCTGTTGCTCGGTATGGCCGCGCGGCGAGATCTCCGTGTAGAAAGACAGAATTTAGACTCAAATTACCTGTCGGTAGACGGGGAAGTACGGTCCGGTACTCTTCAGTCGTCATTTCGGTGGTACTGGCCGAAGCCTCAGCAGTTCCCCGGCCTGTGGCCGGTGCGTTTTCACTGGAGAGCATTGAAAACACGACCGTTTCGAACGGCGTCTTCTTCTTTCTCCCGCCAACTGAACAAGGAGGAACTTGCCCTCCTCCTTTCATCTGAACTGCTGTTCCTCCCTTCTCTGGGCAACTTGTCCGCAACAAGGAGGAACAGTCGCTTTTGCTACCTTTCTCCTCCCTTTTTTCTTAGAGTGTACTAAGTGCGGAATTTCCCTGCGTCACCAAAAGGGACTCGGGTGATTGGACGAGAATTCCGGCCTAACGCTGAGACCAAAGTCGCGCCCAATCAGCGCCCTGCGGTCGCCTTTTTGAATGACGCAAAACAACTCAGCACTTGGACCTTTTTTTTTTTTTTTTTTTGTCTAGGAGGAGTTGCTTCAGCCGACACTGCGATTTAATAGAGCCACTCAAGCAGTGTCAAAATTGCATCGTCACAGCTGCAAGTCCCAACGTTGTCTCGTGTGAGATCTGACGTCCCTATGAATAGACCATCTACATCTCGCACAAGTCCGATAGGCCCTTCTTGACACTTCATGAGGCGCTCTCGTTGGCAGTTTCTGGGATGTACCCAGACGGAACAGGTGTCCTATAAACGCCTACAAGGCATCTATCGAATTTTAAGACATCGCGAGGACGTCGAAAGAACCATCTGTGCTGCAAGGGCAAGTTGCAGGAATACGTTTGGGAGCTCCCTGGTACATTTTGTTGCCATCCGGGAAGGATGTGTGTCCTCCATATTTTTTTTTTTTTAAAGATAAATATCGACTGCTTACGCGAAAAGGAATGTGAAAGCATTCGAACACGCTGCACGCAGTGGATACATACAAGCAGCGCGCCATGTCTTTCTTTAGCACACGGCGCTCCGGCGGTTACATCTCTCTTCCCCACTGCGCAAGCGCGGCGAACTCCACCGGCTCCACGCCTTCCATGGCGGTCCATCTACGTTGCTGTGCTTTTCTTTGTGTTTTCTTGTTGTTGTTTTTTTCGAGGCCGCCGGCGTGCCCCCGACTTCCGTGTCGAAGCATCTGATATGACACGTCGCAGCCATTTTAACTGCCGTTTATTTAGGTGCCTGTTTTTCGCGGTCACAGCCAACACCGGCTCCGCTCCTGGAGACAGTTTTAATGCTTTTGCATTGATACGAGCAGGAATGCTTCTATTAAACAGGACACCCGAAGGATAATTTTATTTAAATTGACTCGGTTTCGCCCCATCAGTTTCACATGTTGGGGATCATCATTTCCGACACGTAAACTGCGACGCAAATTATTTCTGATTTTGAAAGACATATGCATGATTCAATTAATTTAATTAGAGCACGTTGGACACAAATATTTATCGATAGACTCGAGTGGAGCGCATGGTTTTCAAACCACTTATAGCGTGGGCTTGAAATTGCGGGTTAACTGATCTGTCATGTTGTCGGCCTCCTTTTGCATCCGTTTGGTGCAGGTAAGTCACAGGTGCCCACGCATGTCCCATTCTGGCATGTCTGAGCGGAAAAAAAGAATGCATCAAAATGAGTAAGCCTATCCTGAACAGCGAGAGCTCTGAGCAAGATAACACAAACGTAACTGATCATGCGCATGGTTCGCGCGGAAAATGGATGATTTGTGGTGCACATTTTGTACGAGGACTATTCTGCACATGACATGCTTTTTCGCCCTTCTTTCGGCATGCGTCTATTTCGGTGCGCCTTTTTTTTTTTATTTTATAGCGAAGAAATTTTTTTTTTAGCTCAACATGTTTTGACACATTCAATCAGCACCTCCAAATTGTGGACCTGGCATTCACTGCGAACCATTCTCTACGAAATCCAAGTACATATTTTTTAGATTTCTCTATCAAGTGTAACTTAATTGTATGTCCTTTGCCCCTAAGGGCATGCAATGTGTATCCTCTCTTTGTGTCACTCTTCTATGGGACGCATATTTTTTGGACGTTGTTCGCAGCGCATGCTCCGAGCGATGCGCGAAGGCAAGTTTTTTTTGGCATTTCAGAAGAAGCGAACACCGCGCATCCCCCAGCCTTTGGCTCCGCTCGGAGCAAAGCTGAAACGAAGTATAGTTTGCGTTTTTCTCTTTCCCGCTCAACCCTCCCCCTCCGCCCGTTCCGTTTTACGGATTGTATCGGACAACGTTTTGCGGGCAGGTTCGGGCTTTTGGACCGCCCTTTACCATTGACGCACCCAATCACCGGAATCGCTGAGACAGTTGAGACGGCTGTCTCGGCTAGCGCTCGAGCTGTCCACGTCAACAGGTGGCGGCAGCCGCCCATCTCAAGTCAAAAAAGCAAGACAGCAAGACTGCGGTGCGTCCAGCGTTTCAAACAACGCAAAACCCGTCTGCGCCAAGGTCATTTGATTTTCACAGGGGGATAGGAATTTTCTTAGTAAAGTATTTCTTTTCATCCCCTCCTCGTTGCTTCCTCGTCCCTCTCCAAACCGCGTGACCCAGGAAAATTTACTGGATTTGGTGAACAGAGGTCCTATGTTGCGCTTTTTGGACTCCCAGGGCGACTAGGGAGAAGGAAGTGACGTCAACAACGCTTTTTGGATGTTGATTGGTGGAGTCGCTGATGACGAATTTCTGCGATGTCGTCCGGCGTAAGGTGAGTTTCCGCGATGCGTGGTGTTGCCAAGATACGGTCATTCACACCTACGTCACTTCCTTCCCCCTAGTCGCCGTGGGAGTCGAAAAAGCGCAACATAGGGCCCCAGGATGTTTAAGAATGGCTTCTCCTCTACGAGCGAGTCAGCCACGTAACCGATGGGATCCAGCCATTATGCTTGCCAACGTTATCTTTTGCCTCAAAGGCACTGCTCGGACATAGTTTCTCAAACATGAGAAAACAATCACATCCTGGGACATGTGCGAAGAGAAACTCCAGCATCTCTTTGGCGACCCCACTGGTCGCAAGCTGCCCACTAAGCGCAAGCTCGCTTCGCGTGTGCAGTCACTCACGGAATCGAACATGACCTACGTACACGACATCCTGTCCCTTTGCCAGAAAGCGGATTCCAACATGCCCGTCTCGGAAAAACTCCCCCACGTCCTCAAAGGTATCGCGAACGACCCGTTTTATCTTCTAGTCTTCAGACTGCGTAACACTGGAGGAATTAAGCCAATTAAGCTGTCGAAGAGTGCCGACGTTTTAAAGAAGCGAAAAAACGACGGATCACAGCAAGGTCTGTGCGCCTGCCCAACACGACAGTTAACATTGACAAGTGAAAACCCTAGCTTTCAAGCTGACCACAAAGCGAAGCTTATCCGCCGAGAACTCGAAGCCATGTTCCCTGCTAACACTTTCGCCCGGCCTACTGAACAGCACAGCACAGCACAGGTCTCAGCGGTCCAAGCAGTTCATGTTCCAACATACCCACCTGGACACCGGCCTCCTTCCACACGGTTGGATGATGACTCCCCTCCCCCCCCCAAAATTCTTTATCAAACCGTCATGACACCTTAGCATGGAGGACCCCTGAGAATTGACCTATATGCTTTTAAGGCAACGCCATTGGGCAGATTGCACCCTATCGCCGAAACCAGTGGAACAACCGTCCATGCACCTTCACATCGATCAATTATCGGTTTTCGTTTGTTCACCAGCTCTTCGCACCTCCCGGACCCAATCGTCAAGATAACGGACAGTTCACCGCTCCTCCTCGATACAATCGCTCGCCATCTCCACGTCGTCGCCAGTGATTGCCCCTGGCCTCCCGCTGCCCCATGTCTCCGTCGAACGTCCCACGTCAATCAGAAGACTAAGCAATGCAGCTTCGAGAGCTGAAGCTACTCCAGTATCATGGGTAACAAATCCTATTCGACAACGTTCGGTGACGCCCCATAATAGGATTTTTGTTACACTCGACAATATTGAAACACAGCCCTCGTCGATACTGGTGCCGCTATTCCCATTATGAGGGAGAATCTGAGGCGTCAGCTACGCAAGGTATTAACGCCACGGAATTCCACATCACTTTGTGGTGCGGACGGTTGTCTAATTCCCTCTCTTGGCATGTGCAGTGCACGCAATGCTCTGAAAGATAAGACTACGTCCGTCCTTTTTACCGTCATTCTGAATTGTCCTCATGCATTGATCCTTGGATGTGACTTCCTATCCGCCCTCATTGCCCTTGTAGATTGCACAATGAGGAAACATTGAACTTAATGTTTGCGCTTCGAACTAACCCCAGGACCCGGTTATTTGCAAACTATGTTCTATGGAAACTTGCCGCATTCTACCCTTAAAAGCAGTCCCCATTAAGGTGTTACCCGAAAACCCTGCAGTTGATGGCGACTACGTCGTGTCCCCGAACATGGGCATCTTTTTCACCAAGCAACAATTAGTATTGCACATTCAATTGTTTCTGCCCTTGATGGTTCCATTTTCATCTGGGTGGTGAATTTCGGGCATAGTCCACAATAACTACTCAGACGAACTTCTCTTCCCATCACATCCCCATTGTTTGAAGAAAGACTATCGGTTATTACCGACGACGACCGACCAACTCAAATTAAGGTCCGCGGCGTTGACCTCGGATCTCGTTCAACTGGTGAACATGATTGCTTCTACGTTAGACGGGACGCAAAAACAGCAGATATAGTCTTCTCTCAAAATATCACAAAAATGTTCGATTTGCCAGCGCATCCTCTCGGCCGATTAGCCACCTAAACACCGTAATGACACCAGGACCAATCCACCTTTACACCACTGGCCTTTTCGAGTTTCGGTAAGCGAACGTCGCGTAATACAAACCGAGGTGGACAAAACGCTTTTGCGAGACACAATACAGCCGTCTTCTAGTCCATGGTCCTCCCTTGTGGTTTTGGTCAAAAAGAAAGATGGCTCCTGGCGTTTTTGCGTCGATTACCGTAGGCGGAACAAGATTACCAAGAGAGGTGTGTACCCATTGCCTGGCATCGATGACAGCCTAGACTGTCTACACGATACCAAGTACTTTTCTTCTAACGACCTTCGGTCAGGATATACTGGCAAATTAGTGTGGACGACACCGACACAAAAAAGACGGCTTTCATTACTCCAAACGGCCTCTACGAATTCAAAGCCATGCCATTCGGTCTGTGTGATGCTCCCGCTAATTTTGAGCGAATGATGGACCGCCTTTTATAAGGTTTACGCTGGACAACCTGCCTGTGCTACTTGGACGACTTCATCATCTTTTCCAGTTCGTTCTCATCCCATCGTATACGCTGGGATCAAGTCCTGGACCTCTTCAAAGAAGCAGGTTTCTAGCTAAATTCGTCACATTGCAGATTCGGCAGCTCCAAAATTAAAGTTCTAGGTCACTTGGTCAACATGCAAGGCGTTCAATCAAACCCTGACAAGATAAATGCCGTCCAACAATGTTCGGCACCTCAAGGACCAAAGGATGTCCGAAGTTTTTCTTGGGCTGTGCTCCTATTTTCGACAATTTATTCATTATTTCGCTCCAATTGCTTGTCCCCCGACAAACTGCCTCAGGAAAAATCAACCTATCTTCTGGCAGCCGGAAGAACAAGCTGCTTTCACTCGTTTGAGGGACGCCTTTATTTCTAATCCCGTTTTAGGATATTTTGAAAATTCCGCACCTACTGAATGACGCACGGACGCCGACGGTCATGGAATTGGCGCCATATTAGCTCATCACCGATTTAGAGAAGAATGTGTAATAGCTTATGCCAGTCGCACATTATCCTCAGCAGGACAAAACTACATGAAAACGAAACGTGAGTGTCTCACTGTTGTGTGGTCCATTTCGAAATTTCATACTTACTTATTTGGCAGGCAATTTTTTTTTTTTTGTTTGGGGGGGGGGGGGGGGGGGGGAGGGGGTCGGGGGTTATTACGCCCTTTGTTTGCTCTCCTTGTTTAAAAGACCCTATCGGCCGACTTGGACTCTGGGCTCTCTCTCTTCAGGAGTGCGATTTCAAAGTTATCCACAAATCTGGAAAACTCAACCAATATGCCGACTGCATGTCTCGACACCCTGTCGATCCTGTTGACGAAACAGTCGACGACACCGACCTTGCTGTACTTCATATCTCATATTTTATGAACATCACAGAAGAGCAGCGTCGTGACGCAGCTCTACAGGGTGAAACAATGAGACGCCAGGCTCTTTAAATCGACCGGAAAATTCGGTTTCTTAACCTATCGCGTTACGACTTTGTACAGCGTTGCCCAGAGATGGTGCATTTTTTTTTTTTTTTTTTGTAAAATTTGCAAAGAGTGAACTTACCCGAGGAAAAAGCAAAGAAAGAAAAAGGCTTAGATCCTATGGAAACGCAGCGACACCACCGGTCTGCAAACAACACGGCGCCGTTTCGCACGGGAGACAAGAGATGGCGCAAGCGGTCTCGACGCCAACTGCCGCCAACGAACGAGCAGACGACGCCGAGAGCCGGCCCTTTTGCAGACAAGGAACTGCAGTTCCTTGCTATTACCGCCCCTGTCTTTTTTGTTTCTGCGACTGTCGCCGCCTGCGGAACG